AAATAAAGACTCTAAAAATACTGTAGGCTGTTTAGTTTTTATAATTTTTAAACTAAAAGTTTAAAAATATATTACACTGATCGCCAGATATTGTCTGAGATTAACCCTCAGGGTGGATCCCTTTAAGTGGTTCAACGTCTTATTTAGGCATTTCATAAATTCATTTTAAGTTATAATGTGATTTAAATGATAAAAGATTTGCAATCATTTCAATCTATTTCAGTGTCCCCCATTGTTTAGGATTTAATTGTAGTCAGCTGTGTTTAAACAACCTGGAACATCTTTAAATCATGTCCCTTAGATGAAACCAAAGTGACGATGTTTGGCTGTGCCTCTGTCTGTGGTGACAGATATCAGTAGGAGGAAAATACTTATAATACATCATAAATGATTACAGTGTAAACCCTATAAACCTGCTGCTGTTTTTTTATATTTCACAGAAAACGGTGAGTTGCTTTAATGAGACTGTTTTTCAAACTGAACATGTTCTAATTTTAATTTCTGACATCTGCTCCCCTCATCGTGGCACACGGCCCCTGTTCAACCACAGCTCGACCTTTTTGCGTTTGCTTTTAATGAGACAGATCGTGTCGAGTTTGAGACGTTCTGGACAGAAGCAGGCGAACTGTTTTTCTCCTTTCTGTAAACAGCTGAAAACACCTCCTCGCAAAAGAATTCACAGGAAATGGACTTATTGATGTAAGGGTTTTCAGACACGACGACGTTGCTCTTCAGTGCTTCGGGTTCATAGGACCACTGATCAACTCAAACCTTCTGGATCATTTTTATAATTGACAAACAGCAGTCACTGTCATATTCATCAAGTGAGTGAGACTGTTAATCGCCAGTATTGATAATGAAGCAGARCCTTCATCAAACTGTGTCGCTCAGATCACATCAGCTAACGTCGTTACATCAAGGTGGTCTTCAGTCTCCTGTTTTTCCCACAGCAGCTGTGCAGCTCATTAATCTTCTGGATGTCATGGAAGCAGATCACATCTGTAGCCTCCTCTGTCTCCCACATGGCTGCCTGCCAGCTTTTTCCACTCAGACCGTCCGTAAACTGAGGAAAGTATACATTAGAATTTAGAACAGGGATTATACTGTATATCAGAGTGATAACGCTCTGCGGTGGTTATACTTCATGGCTGTGCAATGAGGCTCAAACTGATGTGATTTTGTGTTCACACCACGACGTTTTCCACAGACCGCACACACACAGTAAACGATTTGTGCATTGTAATCCCACTGTATGAAATGTTTGATTTGTTGATGCTTAAAGATAGTGTAACACTGAAGAATCCAGCTCTTACTGATAATGTCACGTAGAGAGAAGCTCTCGGAGCAAAAAAGCTGCATTGACGTGTAGAAAACTCTTGATGCCTTTGGCAGCTACTGTACTGTCACTCAGACTGATAAAGTTTAGTTTTTAATTCAAATGTTGCACATATAAATCATGAATCTAACAACAGTGATGTGATGAGTTTTTTTTTATCCTGTCATATTTATTACTGCTCACTGCCAAAAGGTGGGCAGTAATGTGTGTTGTCTGTCTCTGTGTGTGCAAGTGTTTGTTGGCAAAATATCTCAGAGGAATCTTAATGAAACTCCTGGAACATAAATAATGGATGTACGTCTAGAACTAAATAACATGTAGAGTCAGCCTGGTTCAACATGGCTCCACG